GGACAAGTGACAAACATGTGGACTTGGTTGTGTTGGAAATGGAAGGAACTCTTTCCCAAACGGTCATTATGCCCCCCTGCCCCCTGAGCCCCCCCCCCCCCCCTCTCCCGTCAATCGGTAGTAGTAGTAGTAGTAGTAGTAGTAGTAGTAGTAGTAGTAGTAGTAGTAGTAGTAGTAGTAGTAGTCCAGTGGTTGTCTCTTGTTGTCGCACTACATGTCGCGCTTATTGAGTTTTCTCGCATTTGCACCTTTGTGTCATTATTGCAATTTTCGCTGTTTACTTTAGCTATCTTCTTTCTTTCTTTCTTTCTTTTTGCGCTGTTTTACCACCTTCTTACTGTATTTAATCCACTGTTCCTGTTCCTTTTCCCTTGCCTGTATTTCACCTGATGAGAAGGCTTGAAAGTATACTTGTGAAGACGAAAACTTTCAAGATGTTTGTAATGAGCCTGAAGTGTGTCCTTTTTATGAGTAGTAGTAGTAGTAGTAGTAGTAGTAGTAGTAGTAGTAGTAGTAGTAGTAGTAGTAGTAGTAGTAGTAGTAGTAGTAGTAGTAGTAGTAGTAGTAGTAGTAGTAGTAGTAGTAGTAGTAGTAGTAGTAGTAGTAGTAGTAGTAGTAGTAGTAGTAGTAGTAGTAGTAGTAGTAGTAGTAGTAGTAGTAGTAGTAGTAGTAGTAGTAGTAGTAGTAGTAGTAGTAGTAGTAGTAGTAGTAGTAGTAGTAGTAGTAGTAGTAGTAGTAGTAGTAGTAGTAGTAGTAGTAGTAGTAGTAGTAGTAGTAGTAGTAGTAGTAGTAGTAGTAGTAGTAGTAGTAGTAGTAGTAGTAGTAGTAGTAGTAGTAGTAGTAGTAGTAGTAGTAGTAGTAGTAGTAGTAGTAGTAGTAGTAGTAGTAGTAGTAGTAGTAGTAGTAGTAGTAGTAGTAGTAGTAGTAGTAGTAGTAGTAGTAGTAGTAGTAGTAGTAGTAGTAGTAGTAGTAGTAGTAGTAGTAGTAGTAGTAGTAGTAGTAGTAGTAGTAGTAGTAGTAGTAGTAGTAGTAGTAGTAGTAGTAGTAGTAGTAGTAGTAGTAGTAGTAGTAGTAGTAGTAGTAGTAGTAGTAGTAGTAGTAGTAGTAGTAGTAGTAGTAGTAGTAGTAGTAGTAGTAGTAGTAGTAGTAGTAGTAGTAGTAGTAGTAGTAGTAGTAGTAGTAGTAGTAGTAGTAGTAGTAGTAGTAGTAGTAGTAGTAGTAGTAGTAGTAGTAGTAGTAGTAGTAGTAGTAGTAGTAGTAGTAGTAGTAGTAGTAGTAGTAGTAGTAGTAGTAGTAGTAGTAGTAGTAGTAGTAGTAGTAGTAGTAGTAGTAGTAGTAGTAGTAGTAGTAGTAGTAGTAGTAGTAGTAGTAGTAGTAGTAGTAGTAGTAGTAGTAGTAGTAGTAGTAGTAGTAGTAGTAGTAGTAGTAGTAGTAGTAGTAGTAGTAGTAGTAGTAGTAGTAGTAGTAGTAGTAGTAGTAGTAGTAGTAGTAGTAGTAGTAGTAGTAGTAGTAGTAGTAGTAGTAGTAGTAGTAGATTATACAATCTCACAGCACAATGTCATTGCTTGTTGCAACAACAACTTACAGTATGTACAGTATCATGGTAGCAGCGTAGAGGTTGATTAACGGCGGGTTAATCAAAGAAGGGGAGGATGTTTAGAAGCATACAGTACTTCCTACATTTACGATTATTCTTCCATGATCCTTGCATGGCGCCACTACACACTGGAGAGTACTTATACCACCACTAATTATCAGTAGTCTTCATTGTTTCCAGAATACAATACTGGTGCCGCTATGCTTCATTTGCAAAAGGTCTTTGTGCAGTTGTATGGACTTATCTTCACTGCAATATCAGCCTCATGCTCCAATGCTTCCTTTACAGCAGTGAGGTGTGCTGCGATTAATCAATGGCATTTCCAGCTTGCTTGCTACACTTTCACATACTCTCTTTAGCTGTTATGCTGCCTGCTGCTTGTTTCAATAGACACCAGCTGAAGCTTCCTAGCTGGCCCCCTTGCCCTTGTTAGATTCAGTATAAGTTCTCTAGTTTGTACCTCATACGTTGTTGATTGAGTAGAGGCCTTGCTAGAGAACAGTTAGGTATTGCTCTATGGTCATCCCTAGTTTCCTTTGGAGTTCAAACAGCTCAGATCTATGTGTGTAGACTGTGTGAGAACGGGGAACTAGTATTTGTGAAAGGGTCGGGCTTGAGCCTTCCGAACACTGATCAATGGTGGTAAGTGGCGTAGTGTGTACAACTGAGCTGCAGCTGCTTTCATGCGGTAGGAAACCTGCTTAAATACTGCTTCTACACACTGCCATCAGTTAAAGATATATCCAGGATGTTGTAAGCAACTGAATCCGGTTTTGAGCTGCTCACTCCTGCTCTCATGTACTCTATCCCAAATACATATCTGACCGAGTAGTCCGGACAACACCATAGCTTGGTCGTAGAGTGCCATGAACGAGGGTCCCTTGTCTGATTCCTTCTGGCTACATTCAATGTGTTCTTCAGCCTCTACCTGTCTTAACTCACTCAGCCTTGTAATATAGTTGAGAGGCGGTGATTTCAGATGGGTTAGGAAATTATCACCCACTACCTACCCCCACCCCTCCCTTCACCCCTACCCCCCCCCCCCTCTCTCTCTCCCATCACCCCTGCCCCCCCCCCCTCCCTTCACCTCCCCGCACCACACAATAATTCAGAAGAGGTCAGTGGTCATTTGTGGGTGAGGCTGATTTCAGGTCCACTGGTCAGTGTAGGGCAATTTCACTTGATAATCTTTGCTATCATATTGGAATCCATAGTTCAACAATAATGACAACTTGCTGTAGCCGTCGGCATCCGTTTAATCATATTGTACTCTATTCTCTATTTTGCATGTGCACGCTTGTGTGTGTGTATGTGCTTGTATGCGTGTGTGTGTGGGTGTGTTTGTATGCGTGTGTGTGTTGTGTGTGTGTATGCGTGTGTGTGTGTGTTTGTATGCGTGTGTGTATGTATGCGTGTGCGTGTGTATGTGTATGTATCTCAGGGCTACTGTATGTGTATGTATGGGTGTGCCTGTGTTTGTTTGTGGCCTTGGCTACTTTTTAGGTTGAAAGTGGAGGTCTGATTCCCGGTGCAGCCATGGGTTACAATGACACAATGGTTCAGATTGGCCCCATTTTATCATCATTGCAGGTAAAATGCACTGATGGGTCTGGAGAGAGAATGAGTGTAGGAATGAGTGATTGAGTGAGTGGGTGAGTGAGTGAGCACGTGAGCTGGTGATGCTTGTGCAGATGATTGTGATGATGGTGATGACTGTAGTGTTGGTGCTACTGGCAACTCTGGTGGCGGTGCTTGTGCGGATGGCAATGGATGTACGTGTGCTGGTGGTATCGATGGTATCAATGGTGATACTGGAGTACCGGTGCTGGCATTGGGGATATGTGCAGCACTGGATCCAGTATTGACACAGAGCAGTTCTTGTGTGGTGTCTGTATAGTGATTTGTCTGTGTGTTTGATGGGTTGGACGGCGTGTTGTTGAGTGTTTATGACATTGTCTGTATACTAGTGTTGATAGCCTGCATTCAAGCTAGTGTAGTATCTGGTAATCAGCCATCCCGGACATGTTTTCAAACCCAATACGCGTGAGTTAGAGAACGCCACGACCAGAGCATGTTCTAACCACTGCATACCAATGTGATGAAATGTTGTCCCGGGTTTCATATGATTGTAATGATATGGTTATAGCCAGTCGCAAAGGTCTCTGACCTCGCCTGCAATTCATCTGCCGTCCCTAGAGAAATAGTTCTGACGGAAGCACCTGTGTGACATCTCCCTTGACAGCGATTATTCACCGCACACACACACGCGCACAGTTAGTGGGAACGTTGCAGTGAAGAGTCCTGCTTGATCATAGCATCCATACCTGTCAACCGTTTGCAAAGCTGAGATGGTGACAATAGCATACCTACATGTATGCGCATACATATCATGTACGTGTAGCTGTGAGGCGTGCAGCAAATACACTGTTGGGTGAGAATTGCCACCCTCGACATCGGGACGGTCCTGGCCAAAATCGGGATGGTTAGCAGGTATGATATCCTGTTCAGCGTTCGTACCAACAAGACTCTTGCATTCCTGCATTTCTTTCTAAAACTACCCTGAAATTCAAAACTCTTTCAAAAACAATATTATGATATTTGCGGAAAGGGTATATGTTTCTGTGTTCGTATTTTGACATAAGAGAAAAGTGGACCATTTCAGAGAGGGAAAGAACTGAGCGTAACGGGGTAACGTTTTGAAGACAGCCATGATAGGTTCTGTCCCTCTGTGCAATTGTCCTGTCACTTTTCCCTTGTGTACTTATTTCTGTCGAAATTAAGTGCCAGTTTGTCGTCGTTAACTACTTCTTAATTATAATTATGCATGAGGACACATTTTTGTCTATATTATGTATATCTTTTTCTCTGTCTGTTCGTCGGTCGGTTATTTTGCGTGATGACAAGGTCACTAAATAGCAGCAAGAGGTGATAAACAATAGTGTTCCACGCATCTCTTCTGCATAATCTGCAGATACCCGGCCCATGGCAGAATTTTTTGTTGACGTCACCTTGGTACAGAGCACGATCATTTTGCCGCAGAGCAGTGCGAGAGCACGTGCTGGGCATCGACCTTGTAATGTATAGCCAGCCAAGTGCGTGAG